CGCTTAAAACTTTAAAAGAAGGTTAAAATAACATGACAGAAATAACAGATGCCACGGATGGGCAAAACTGAAGAAGATTGAAACGGATTGAAATTAGGGTTTTTGAAAACTGTCCAGCTTAACAGTTTTTCTAAGTTGATCCCTGCTGCTTGTAACTTCAAAAATAATGCTCAGGAGACATATTTGTTTGTCTCAGATCTCTGATTTTGTCATTTAAATGTAATTTCTTCGTTTACTTTAAGTTCCATAGCGACTGAGGGCGAGTAATTGGCAAAATTAAACAAAATGAACTGGACTGCCGTGACACAGCCCTTTTAATGGTAAAAACAATTTACAGTTGCCACGTGTCAATACCACCTTTTATGGCACACCTTCTTTCACATTTTTAGTACCCTAACTATAAAATAGTTTAGACTTTAGATGATGATCTTGTCTTCATCTTTATTCAAAATTTGTATTTCCGCAGTTCACATTATCTTCATGTCTCATTCCTTTCACGGGTTAAGATAAACTCAACAAATTGGCCTGCTCCCAATGTGTGGGTCTTCATAGCTCAAATGGTAGAGCACTGCAGCGCTAAGTTACATTACAATGATCACTATGGCGATTATATCTTCATTAAAGTTTGTATTTCTGCAGTTCGCATCATCTTCATGTCTCATTCCTTTAACGGCTTAAGATAAATTTATTCCATTTTCACTGCATTAGTTGAAAAAATGGTATCACACATAGAACATATACATATATATATATATAAAGAAGAAAAAGAAAAAAAAAGAGAAAGAAAACTTAGCTGAATTACACAAAAGAAAAAAAATTATTGCAGTGGGGAAGGACTAGAAGGGAACATACGAACCATTCGAGCAAGATGAACTCAACAAACTGGTCTGCCCCCACCGGGTGGATCTTCGTAGCTCAATGGTAGAGCACTGCAGCGCTAACGCAGAGGCCATGGGTTCGAGTCCCGTTGAATTCCCTCAGAATTTTTTCGGGTTTATTTGCAATTGCTTAAGTTGCAATAACCATTGCAATGATCATATCTTCATTCAAAATTTGTATTTTGGCAGTTCACATCATCTTCCTGATCTTAGAGCTACCGATAGCATGGCTCACTTTACAAACAATGTTCGTTTGTCTGAACTTTGTGAGCTATAGCTTGATTACTTATTCTTACTTTTTTATTAGCATGTATATACGTAAGATATTTTTTATAATTTAACATTATTCTGTGTAATTAGAGGTATCTCTAGGAGATACTAGCGCTTATGTGCTACTCTTCTACCCGATTTCAAATAAAGCTTTACTGCTACTACTGTTACTAACTACTACTACTTGGGGGCAAGTTATGAGCCATTCATAAACAATACAAATCGTCTTATACTTACATTAAGACCTTCTTATGTGGTTTATCTGGGATACTGAAAGCCCGATGCCCAATAGTCTTGATAGGATTATCTGAAAGCAATCTAAAGGTATGAATTGCGTGAGTGTATGTTAGTATATAAAAAGCTGCTAGTCGAAACGCCAGTAATGAAGTGACCAATCAAGTGTCCTTGAAATACATTGTAAGACGAGAAACTTTCCCTGAGTTTGTGAGCCACTTGAGCGGATTAAGAGGAAATAATTGGACACGTCCAATTTCTCTCTCTCTTGGACTAGTTCGTAAGATATTGAACATAAATTAGAGGAAGGGATCTTCGATTCAGCTAGGACCTAATAGTCCGATACGAGGTGAATATCCATTTCCCGCTCCCTCGAACATTTTTGCAGTCATGTAACGTTTTAATCATTTCTCTAAGGGTATTTTAGAAATAGATGTTTGCAGGATTGATTGCTGGCTGTGGCTGTACGAATACATTCTTTATTTTCACTAAAGGCCACTTGTCATCTACGTCTGAAGTTGAAAAGAGTAGTTAGGGAAATGGTTATCCTGGCGCATACTTCGAATTTTCAGAAATACATTAAAAAAACAAATAAAATCCCAGATTATGCAAGGGGATACAAGAATGAATATCTTTTTATAAGAGGTATCAATAAGGAATGTGAAAAATTTGTAAAGATATTAGATCAAGAAGGGGAAATATTTAATAACCGACAAGCTAAAAAAGTTATGTATTATTTTAATAAATTTTTGAAAGCTCAAGAAATAGAATATCTTAATGATATTAGTGAGTAATATTTCAAATTGAGTGATGTTAGATTTATAGAGTCTTTAGAATTACAATTAGATGATTATATGCATTTATTTTACGATCCAGATAGTTATGAGTTTGATAAGGAAAAGTATGAAAATGATTATCCAGGTTTAAAAGAGTTTTTTGAAAGTTTTAGTAAATTTAATGATAAAATAAAAATAGAAGAAATGACTTTTAGTGATTTTAAAGAAAGTCTTAAATATTTGGATAGTGATAGTGATGATGATTATGTGATTAGTGATAGTGATAGTGATTAATTATAGCTTAAAGTCTTATAATCTAATTATAAGATTGTAAGACGTCAT